CAATCTACCTCGTCCGGAGTCAGAATTTTTAGGATTTCGAGCACTTTGATTCTGATATTCTCTCCTTCTGTTTCTCTAAGGTTGTTTAGCCTCAAATTCCATCTCCTACTGTAGATCTCGGCTTGATCACATTTGCCTTGAACCATCTGTCCACCTGCTCAATTCAGTAGCCCCTCACTGCAGAACAAAGATCCAGGGGACAGGGTTGGATCCACATCTAGGGGGTAGAGATGGTAGGTTTAGGAGTGGAGATGGGTGGGTTTAGGGATCAGGGGGTGGAGATGGGTAGGTTTAGGTATATGTAAGGTTGGAGGAGTTGGATCTGGATCCAACCTCGCCCCCTAGATCTTGTGTTCTGCAGTGAGGACCATCTCGCTCAATTTGCGACACCTTGTTCTCATTAGTCTTGACCCTTGCAGATAGCGATTTCATCTCCTCGGCCACAAAATCAGCCATCTTTGAAAGATTTACTATAGCGAGTTTTTTTTGAAAGAGGACTGCCTGTTGGAGTATTTGGGGATGAATCAAAGTCTCCATATGATGCTTCGAGAAGCGAAGAAAGTAACTTTCTGTCTTTGTTCTTTGGCATTTTGGAAAATCCACACGTGGGATGACAGTGTGATTTATCGATATACGTCACAGTCTGCAGTTGAGGTTTTTATTAATGAAAAAGTTAAAAGCATTCTACTTTTAAAGAGAGTTCTCACTCCCCACCTTGTACATACAATACAAATTCGCCCAGAAGATGCAAACTCCTCAAAAACGCCTCAGAGCTCGTACCAACACAACCGTTCAGGTCACAATCTTGCATCCCCCCCCCCACCCTCTTTATTTTATTTTGTTTTTTTATTAGGATTATCAAAAAGTATACAAAAATATACAACCCTAGTAACAACAAAATCACAAAACAAAAATAAAAAAACACAGGGCAAGGGGTAATATAAATTACAATATATATAAAGTAAAGGTGCCTCAAAAGGCACTTTTTAACAATCAGGCAAAAGGTCACAGAGCATTCAGTCAACTGTACATTATGAATCTTCTTTTAGAGAGTGGTGTCGTCTGCTAACTGGCTTATAAGAATATGATTATCAGCTATATTGATACCTTGTAAACTACTATTCAACAATTAAGATGTGAGGAGCTGGGATGCTATTACAAACAGGTGGGCAACCCTTGCGATTTCCTCTGAACACTTCAAATCTAGGAGAAGTACCAGATTTAAGATTAATTGAGCAGGTACCATTTTTATATAAAGTGCGAATAGTTTTGCAAAAGAAATCATCAAAGCCAAACTTGTCAGAAATTGTAAAAATAAATTTGTGCTCAAGAGAATCAAAGGCTTTATAAAAATCTAAAAAAAGAATAAAACTCTCCTCCTTAATCAATTCGGCATAGTCTAACAAATCTAAGACGATGCAAATATTATTAGCAATATGCCTTTTAGGGTTAAAACCTGACTGGGTTTCATCAGTAGCGCAAATATGCAGTGCACAGGAGCTCACACATAGGGGGGCGCCATTTTGCCAAAATCATTCTGTGAAAATCTTCTTTAAAGGGGTCCTATTATGCTTTTTCACTTTTTCGCTAGTCTGTAATGTTGCTGTTTGAGCATAAAAAAGATCTGCAAAGTTACAAAGCTCAAAGTCCACTTCAAAAGGAGATATTTTATTTAACAAATCACTTTTCAAAAACTACAACGAACGACTCGTTTGGACTACAACACATATTTTCCGGGATTTGTGATATCACAGCACACACTGGCCCAGCTGACCAATCACAGCACACACTGGCCCAGCTGACCAATCACAGCACACACTGGTCCAGCTGACCAATCACAGCACATTTCGTATTTCAGAAGGCGGGCATGCCAGACTGGGGAGAGAAGTGTTGTAATAATGTAAAATATGTGAAAAATAATATGCTTTTCGAACAACCTAGTATGAGAGCCTGTTACAGTACACCCCCAAAACAAAACCAAGACTTTGTAAAAGAGCATAATAGGACCCCTTTAATTAAACGTTATAGGCTAATTAATCAAAAGCTTAGTTATTAAAAGTAATTAATGCAACATTTTTATTCAACGGTTTTTAGCATTTTAATGGGTTAAAAATGTATTTAATAAAAACGCATTAAGATCTCTTATTATCTCTTTGCGACCACAAGGTACATGTGCCAAATGAGCTTCAGTAGAACAACAGGGACTGCAGTCTGATGATATATTGTTATATGTCAGTAAAACAAACGTCCCTGTCCCGTCAGCCGTTTTACTGTGCTCACGGCGCACGCTCTTCAACTGTACGAGAATATGAGGCGCACGCTCACTTCACAAATAAACCGCACTAGAAACTGTGAGCATACATCGTCAGTTAAGTCACGAAATTACCAAAATGGCTATTAAAACTGCAAAACTGTGCATGCATGTATGTGCACTACATTTAAAAACACGTCTCAAATGCATGCAGCCTACTGAAATATTCTGCAATTCGAGATCACAATAGGGCTATGTATTTTTTTATATATATAATTGAATGCACAAGTAGGCCAAATGTGAGCACAGTGCAGTTAAATGTACTAGAAATGATGCGCTAATTTTTCGTTAATTTGTAAAATACGAAAATGAAAAGAAAATGAAACTTATTGAAGCGTATTTTACATTCTTACATTATTTTCCTTTGTACAGAGCTCGATGTCGGTATGACCAAAGTGCTGCAATGAATTCATTTTGGCAACTAATAGAATGTTAAACATTGACTGATTTAGAGTTTATTGATTATATAAAATTCAGTGAAGGTTGACTATAGTTATCTGCATGTCTCATCCATGAGTGCGGGCCTAAGCAATGATGGAGAACAAGATTTTGGTGGTGTTAAGACCCAGAACCAAGCTTACTGAGCAATAAAGCTATAGTGAGCCCTTTTATTAAAATTCCTGGAGCTAGGTAATACAAAAATAAAAACAAAAATTGTCATTCACTCAGTATTACTTGATGTAATTCACAACTATCTTAATTACAATTAAGTACAAATTAATTCAGTTATTCAATTGTGTTTTAGGCACTAAAACAGTCCAGTACTTTATAGTCAAATCCATTTCTATATTGAAATAATGAAGATTTCTGTGCCACCCCAGACTGGTTGCTGCCCCATTCCTGGCTACCCGCTATAAAAACATGGCAAAAAAAATATTTTTAAATGTTATAATAGGGATTTTATAATGTCTAAATATAAATCCATTAGCAAAACCTGTGAAAAGAACAATATTACAGAGTGGAAATGGTAAAGGAGACAACAAATGCTCCTCTGCTGCTCTTTAGTGGTCATAGTGGGAATCATGTATTTGTATAATCATGTATTTTATATATATTTAATAGTATTTGTTTTTCTACCAGGTGAAATCTTGACAGAAATCTTCCACTTAGCATGGCACATTTTCCATGAATTATCTCTTTAAGTAAAAATGAAAAAACAAAACAAAAACAAATGCAGATGCTCTTTAAAATAAATTTTACTATATAAAAATGTGCAAAAATATTAATAATTTTGAGGCAAATTATACATATATTCAAATGTAAAAAATTAGCAATAGTACATGTGTTTGAAAATAAAAATTGTGTTCAACTGTCTGGGGTCTGGGAGCGCCGACACTGATCTTGCATACCCCTCAGCAAATGTGCAGTTGCGCTCCTGGGTTTCATCTATAATTGAGCCCAGCACACATTTAAGTCTATTGGCCAATATCAAAGCTAGAATTGTATAATCAATTCTTAGGTTTAGGTATTAAAGTGAGTAGGCCCTGTGAAAATGTCGGAGGGAGTGTTTCGAATTCAATGCTTTCTAAATAAGTCTCCAGTAAGAAAGGTGCTAGTTCTTGAGCACACATTTTGTAAAGTTCAGGAGTCAGCCCATCGGTACCCGGAGACTTGTTGTTCTTAAGAGCTTCAATAGATTCCATTATTTCAGCAACAGTTATATCTCTGTCACAGATGATCTTCTCTTCAATAGATAAAGTATTAATCCCCTTCAGAGACTGAAACAACTGCGATGCCGAGTCCTCACAACAATTCGATTTTAAAGAGTAGTATAATTAGATTTGTAAAGAGTAGTATAACCTTTATTTGAATTCTGGAGCTCTCTCGTGACAGCTCATAACGCACCTGTCATCTGTTAGGGGCATAACTTAGCAATCGGCTTTTTGCACAAATAATTATTTTTATATGTGTGTGTGTGTTTTGTGGGGAATGTGGCTATATCTGCATGATTACCATCTGTATGACTGCACATCAGTGTGTGATTACTGTGTGTATGACAGCTATCAGTGTGAATGCGGTCTATATGAATAGAGTGTGATTATTGACTATATGGCTGCCCATCTGTATGATTACCATCTGTATGAGTGGCCATCAGCATGTGATTACTGACTGTATCAGCAGCTATCAGTGTGAATGATGCAATCACAGGATGTACTTGGCATACATAGTCTCAGAAAAATTGTTGCAGGAATCTAATATTTAATGGTATCTTCTTAAGGTTTGAAATATAAACTCATGAGACATGTGACTTTCAACCCATCACTTTTCTGGATTGCTCCAGGACTGATTTAATGTATTTTTATATGAAATTTAAAAAAAAATCAGTGTGGTACAATTTTTTTCAAGGCACTTCAGTGTCTATAACTTTTGATCTTTTTGAGTATTATCAACTCTGGATAGTATCTGGTAGATAGTAAAGTCCAACGGGTCTTCTTTCCAAAGACACCAAAATTGTGTGTGTAGCACACTGTTGTCAGGAACTGTTACCATTTTAAGTTAGGTAGGTCATTTTCAGCTGTGAGTCCCAAAATGGGTGCAGGCTAACAGGTCTACTTGAGGAAATAATTTTAGAGTAACATAACAATTTATTAATCAGGTAACCAAGATAATAATTCAAAATTCAAACAATATAAAAACATTAATAAGTCACATAAAACATTCAATAATACCGAAATGAGAATATGTATAAATGGTACCTGATAATGAAGACTACGCACAGCAGTTATGCGGGAGATCTGCCTACAGATTCCTTGAGATCTTTGTCACTCTCCCGTAAATATCCAGAAGAACTCCAAAGTTACCAAATGGTATTGTTTGTTTATTGCAGGGTTTTTATCACTTTTGGGGGTTTTAAGTGAGTAACTGATTTTCTGTGTGAGGCTGTAGTTCATTTACATACAAGAGATAATTTGTGTGAAAGACCTGGGAGTAGTCTGTTCTGCTGTTAAGAGAATGTGACGTGTTTACCAGACACACAGAGGCCTTTTAAACATCAATTGTTGTATTGTAATAAACCCTGATTAAGAAAGGTGGTTTTGGTGGCCTCTGTCCTGTGTTTGGATGGAAGTGAGGGGAGAGAGAGGGAGAGTGGAGGGTCATGCATAAGGTGTGGAGCTTTAGTTTCCCTAAGTTGGGTGTGTTGTCTTAGGCTTGCGGGATTTCAGGTGTTGATTCTCGGAGTTCCTTGTCTTTTCAGACTGTGCCCTTCTTCTGATCCAACTAAATGGCATCCATAATCTTCCATTATAAACAGTTGTGCTGCTTAATATTTTTATGGAAACTGATCTTTTTTTTCAGGATTATTTGATAAATAGAAAGTTCAAAAGAACAATGTTTATTTGTAACATTATGAATGTCATTGCTGCTGATCAATTTTGATCTAATAAATGCATTCTTGCTGAATAAAAATATTGATAGCATTTTTCTTTTTTTCTTTTTTTTTAAATCTTACCGCAGACTTTTGATGGTATTGGTTTTCACACAAACAAATTAATCAGCACAACTGTTTTCAACATTGATAATAATCAGAAATGTTGAGCATCAAATCAGCATATTAGAATGATTTCAGAAGGATCATGTGACACTGAAGACTGGAGTAATGATGCTGAAAATTCAGCTTTGCATCACAGGAAAAAAATTACATTTTAAAATATATTCAAATAGAAAACAGTTCTTTTAAATTGTAAAAAATATTTCACAATATTGCTGTTTTTACTGTATTTTTGATCAAATAAATGCAGCCTCGGTGTGCAGAAGAGAGATGATTTCAAAATCATTCAAATCTTACAACCCAAAAATTGTCTGTTTTCATTGTCAGTTTGATCTTATTAATAAAGAATATTCTGTAAATTATATATATAGTTTTGAGAATAAAGTCGAAATGTTTCTAGAATTTAAATCGTAGAAATTAAAGTTATAATGTTTTGAGAGTATAGCCTTTAATGCGCATGCAAATGGCCCGGATTGAGAGCACCAGGAGAAGTTGCCAGGCTACCGAAATTTATTTGAATATCGTTGCATCCGAGCAGCCGCATCATCTTACTGGGATGAGGAAGAGTCCATTTTAAGGACTCGCGGAAACCGCTTAATATCAAGAATATGATATTTATTAACAGACTGAACAGGGACAACTTTTTATCTTGACATCAGCTCACACACCCAATCGACATTCCTTTGGGGGGAGCTGTAGCTCTCTTATTTAACCCTTTTTTAATCGAGAATAAAGTCAAAATGTTTCGAGAATAAAGTCAAAATGTTTCGAGAATAAAGTCAAAATGTTTCGAGAATAAAGTCAAAATGTTTCGAGAATAAAGTCAAAATGTTTCGAGAATAAAGTCAAAATGTTTCGAGAATAAAGTCAAAATGTTTCGAGAATAAAGTCAAAATGTTTCGAGAATAAAGTCAAAATGTTTCGAGAATAAAGTCAAAATGTTTCGAGAATAAAGTCAAAATGTTTCGAGAATAAAGTCAAAATGTTTCGAGAATAAAGTCAAAATGTTTCGAGAATAAAGTCAAAATGTTTCGAGAATAAAGTCAAAATGTTTCGAGAATAAAGTCAAAATGTTTCGAGAATAAAGTCAAAATGTTTCGAGAATAAAGTCAAAATGTTTCGAGAATAAAGTCAAAATGTTTCGAGAATAAAGTCAAAATGTTTCGAGAATAAAGTCAAAATGTTTCGAGAATAAAGTCAAAATGTTTCGAGAATAAAGTCAAAATGTTTCGAGAATAAAGTCAAAATGTTTCGAGAATAAAGTCGAAATGTTTTGAGAATAAAGTCGAAATGTTTCTAGAATTTAAATCGTAGAAATTAAAGTTATAATGTTTTGAGAGTATAGCCTTTAATGCGCATGCAAATGGCCCGGATTGAGAGCACCGGAATTTCACTTTACTGCGGCCGCATCATTTTACTGCGATGAGGTAGAGTCAATTTTAAGAATATAACATGTATTAGACTGAACAGGGACAACTTTTTATTTTAACATCAGCTCACACACCCAATCGACATTCCTTTCGGGGGCGCTAGCTCTCTTATTTAACCCTTTTTAATACACTACAAATATATGTGGGATTATTAGCTGAAATCATACCACGTGTCATACTCGCGGGGACAGTATGCTTGGAAATAATATTTCATGTCTTCCATTGCATTCGTTATTTGTAGTGCACCAGCCACCCAATAGCAATGAGCTTTGTGCTTTTGGTAGGCCTACATTTAATATAAGTCTCAGTTTATAGCGAAACACAAATGATGTGTCTTACGTTACAATAATGTTTTTTCAAGATCTTTAATGATCAGATCGCTGTATTTATGTGAACCAGTTCATTAAATCATACTGTTTTCTTTGTGAAATTCCAAAATTCCAAATGTGTGAAAACTCCACCACCTACTCCGCAAAAACGTCTGTGGCGTCCAGACATTTCTTCCGCACATGTAGCCTATTTCATTAATAAAACGTACGTTCTAAAAGTTGAAGTGGGCTCCAACTCGTTAACATAAGTTATATTGTTTTCTTTTCTGAGGCAGCCTGTAGGCTATAACATGTAAGTGACTATTCACAAGCTGTTTTATTCATGGTATAATACAGTAAATAATTGAACATAATATTTAACGTCTTCCGTTCATTATTTGTAGCACGCCAGCCACCCAGTAATCGCAATCATTTTGTGCTTTGTTTGCTTTTAATATAACACAGCTCAGCTTTCTAATTCTGTCACGAATTATAACTGTGTTTTTCCTCTTTATTTCAAGTTTATAGCAAGATATAAAAGTGAAGGAATATCAGAAGGCATGAAAAAACAGTATAGCTTAATTTATAATGAAAATAATGTCATTATTGTAATCGGAAAGACTTACAATAAGTCAGCCATCTGTCACGCCACATTAAAGAGCGTGAAACACGTTATTGTAATATTGTTTGTATTTCGCTATAAAACTGACTGATTTTGAAAGCTGAGATTTTGGAATATCTCCCCGGTGCTCTCAATCCAGGTCATTTACATTTCGACTTTATTGTCGTAACATTTCGACTTTATTCTCAAAACATTTCGACTTTATTGTCGTAACATTTCGACTTTATTCTCAAAACATTTCGACTTTATTGTCGTAACATTTCGACTTTATTCTCAAAACATTTCGACTTTATTGTCGTAACATTTCGACTTTATTCTCAAAACATTTCGACTTTATTGTCGTAACATTTCGACTTTATTCTCAAAACATTTCGACTTTATTCTCAAAATATTTCGACTTTATTCTCGTAATATTTGGACTTTATTCTCGAAACATTTCGACTTACAATAAGTCAGCCATCTGTCACGCCACATTAAAGAGCGTGAAAAAAACACGTTATTGTAATATTGTTTGTATTTCGCTATAAAACTGACTGATTTTGAAAGCTGAGATTTTGGAATATCTCCCCGGTGCTCTCAATCCAGGTCATTTACATTTCGACTTTATTGTCGTAACATTTCGACTTTATTCTCAAAACATTTCGACTTTATTGTCGTAACATTTCGATTTTATTCTCAAAACATTTCGACTTTATTGTCGTAACATTTCGACTTTATTCTTGAAACATTTAGACTTTATTCTTGTAATATGTCGACTTTATTCTCGAAACATTTATACTTTATTCTCGTAACATTTCGATTTTATTCTCGAAACATTTCGACTTTATCCTCAAAACATTTCGACTTTATTCTCAACACATTTCGACTTTATTCTCAACACATTTTGACTTTATTCTTGTAACATTTCGACTTTATCCTCAAAACATTTCGACTTTATTCTCAACACATTTTGACTTTATTCTCAACACATTTTGACTTTATTCTCGTAACATTTAGACTTTATTCTCGAAATATTTCGACTTTATTCTCGAAACATTTCGACTTTATTCTCGTAACATTTCGACTTTATTCTCGAAACATTTCGACTTTATTCTCGTAACATTTCGACTTTATTCTCGAAATATTAGAACTTTATTCTCGAAATATTACAGCTTTATTCTCGAAATATTAGAGTTACGACTTTATTCTCGAAATATTACGACTTCATTCTCGTAATCTTAGATTTTTAACAAGTTTTTAACGTGGCACTAAAATGCCGTCATAAACATTTAATATATGCTATTATGTGTGTGTGTGTGTGTGTGTGTGTGTGTGATTTCCAGGCCTAAAAATTTATAGAAATTAATAAAATTAATAGAAGTAAAAAAGTAAATACTCACACACGTTCCGTTTCTATTTTTTATCTAAAATATTTTATATCATTTCCACCTTTAAACACTGACAACTGGAAAGGTAATAGAATTGTATTGATAAAATAATCTTTTTAATTGAACTTTTTTTGTTATTATTTTATTCTGTAAAAATGAGTTTAATGACATAAAAAGTACTAAAGATTATTCCATTTGACCTGAACAAAACACCTTTAAGATACATTTAAAGTAATAACATTGACATTTAAAATAATAAGAATTATTAGTATTTTATTATAAAAAAATAATTATATTTTTAAAATAATTATTTAAAAGTCCATGTTTTTATTTTATTTTGTCACATAACAACAAAATGGTTATGATTTATATGCTGATTTATAACAAATTTGCCTGTTTCTTTTTTTACCTATATATTTTTATACCACCGCAGAAACATTGAAAAAAGACTTTTAATGTAGAAATTTAATTAAATAGTATATTACAACAACTTAAGAATTAATAAATTTATATATTTTATTTTATGTTTCTATATAATTATTTTTATTTACATTTAATTTTCTATTTACATTTTACAAATACTACTACTACTACTACTACTACTACTACTACTACTACTAATAATAATAATAATAATAATAATAACAAAGAGAGTGTGAGGCCACAGACCCTTGTACAAAAATCACATAGATTATGGTTGTAATGTATCTGTACAATCAATCTGGACAGAGAAAAGGTTGGGTCCTATGACAGTGTGAACATCATCAAGCCGGAAGACGCTGCTGTCCTGTTCAAAGCTGAGGGTCATTATCCCAAGAGACTCAGGGTGGAAGCGTGGACCTCCTACAGAGACTACAGGAACCGCAAATATGGCGTCCTGCTCAAGTATGCACCGTCTATCCATATCTGCTAGAAACACACTTACTGAAACAGTAACACATACTGATTTATTCCTGCAGAGACGGAGAGGACTGGAAATCCAACAGGATCGTTCTGAACAAGGAGGTGATTTCTCCAAAGGTGCAGGGGAACTTTGTGCCTCTGCTGGATGAGGTCGGTCAGGACTTTGTGGCGCGTGTCCAAAAGAAGATAGAGAGGACTGGACAGAACGAATGGACCACAGATCTGTCCCATGAGCTCTTCAAGTTTGCACTGGAATGTAAGCTTTCAGACAACTTTCTTATTTTAAATCGTCTGTAATCGTCCTTTGAATATTCAAGAAATTGACTAGCGTATATATATATATATATATATATATATATGTATGTGTGTGCGTGTCTGTGTGTATACACACACATGATGTATCTATCAATTATATAAATATATAATGTATTCATTTTATTTGCAATTTTAATTACATGATACATAGTTACTCCATTTACATTTGATCCAAAATTACTTACAAATGATAAAACATTGCAAATATATTTTTGTACACTTATTTTACTATTAATTTATGTACTTTATGCATACATTTTTAAGTCTATAATTACTATAATTTTAATAAATAAATAAATTGATACATTGTAAAATGCATCAATTGATATTTTAATTATTATATTATTATTACATTTTAATAATAATTATTCAATAATATTTAAAAATACA